ACCGAACATATAAGACCAGTTCTGGCCTGCTTGCATGGGTTGCCTGTATGCTTCTGAGGCCAATTCAAGGTGCTGGTTTTAGCCTAAAAAGTTTTCTGTGACTTGGGACTACATGATGGATTTCCTCTCCCAGCTGCAGTCTACCTAGATCCAATGGGCAACATTCCATGGCCTTCGTTCAAGTGCCAACGCCAAGAGAGATTCGGCAGGTAGCCAGAAGAGAGAGGGCTTTCCTACGAAACGGCCTTGCCACCAAGGCCGGCCAGCCTGCCTCCAACCTTGTCATCATTTTGGCACCAAGTTAAGAAAGTCTTTTATCTTGGGCTTTTAAGATATACTTGGATATCCAAGGGCGTGAGCGGATTACTCACTCCAGGTGTTTTTACAAGACTATATTTCAGTGTAAGTTGTTTGTCTTTAATTGTTTTGTTTTAAAATGTTTATATTTTGAAAAAAAAGCATTTCATTCTATTGTTATTTTGAACTGAGTAAATTGCCCAGAGGTTCAGTCATTGGGCAATGTAGACGTGAAATGAATAAATTAGAATAGATAGATTACATACCATCTGTCAGCCATTCCCCATCATCTGTTTTCTTGATTTGTTTTAACTTTACAAGAGTGCCCAAAACATTGCTCCCCAAGGTTCAGCCTTTAATGCAAAGGAAACATCTCTAGCACTGAGGAAAATCTTTAAAAATGTAGCTGAGATACCGACATGGCTGGGATCTGCCATGCTGTAAGGCTCGGGATGAGACAATGTAGGCCGGAGGGGAAGCAACCTGATGCTGTGTGCTGCAAGTCCATTAGTCCCTCACCATTAATCATGCTGAATGCAGGTGGTGGGAGTTGTAGTACAAGCAATGCATATTACTGTCAGTAGGTTAAGAAGTGATGCCACGCTAACTGAAGGAGCCTGGAGAACCAAGGCTGCCAAGCCCACCACACTGGTATGAGAATATGGTTTGCATGAACAGCAGTGGTGCTTTGCAGCCCCTGGGGATCAGGGCCAGTGGAGGGAAGGGCATCTCTAGGTGTTGGGTATCTGAGCTCTGCTGTAGAAATGGTGGAACTTCATGTTGGCAGAACTGGCAAGCGGAACTATGGAGGGATTGCCCCACCGTTTCAAGATGGCAGCCAAGTAAGAAAGGCTCAGGGACCACACGCTGACCACTTCCTTAGCCTTGTTCCTTAGCTGCTGGGGCCTACTCCAAGTATCGCTATAACAATAATATTTTAGAGGACTCCCTGCTGGGAGAAAGCCGTCAGCTATGTGCAAGGAGGCTGAAAAGCCATTCCTCTCCAAATCATTTATGTAGCGGGAGGGTTCACCATCATCTCTTGCTATCCAAGTTGTTCAATCATTCAGGAGAGGAAGGAATGAGGCCAAAGTCCTCTGAACAGCCAAAATATTCATGACAGCTTTAGGGCAGCCAAAATACCCCACCCCACCCTACCCAGAGAGAATCTCTCTCACTCATTACAGACTTTTCAGATATATCTGCCTGATTCTGAGAAGGAGGCAGAAGAGCAAGGGGGAGAGCAGGACTCACTGATTTGAGGTTACCTAGTAAGGTACTCAGCCACAGTGTAAGAATCAGCTTGCCCTGGAAGGGTTTTTGGGATGGGATGGGGAGCATGCAAGACCCAGACCTTAGCCCAGTAAGGAGGCAACAGCAGAAATAAGCTGCCCAGTTAGACGGTGGACTCAGGGAAGGACAGGGGGAAGTTTCATGTTTGGATTCAACTCAACATGGACAGTTGCTTCTCCCTCAACTTTGACAGAAAGCTATTTAGAGTTTGTTCTGTAATCTGTTAAGTTTCAATAAAAGAATTGCACTTCAAAATGCTGTCTTCAGTTTGATAACTGGAAAGAAGGAGGGAAAGGACCAGCTCATGACACCACCCACCATTTGTAGGTGGCAAATGTTGCACTGAGATGTGCAGCCTGCATTTCCGCTGCCAGTAGCTCGTTATCAATATATAGGGAAATAATTCTATAATCATGTTGAACACGGGCAGCTGCTACTATTGCCATGCATTTCAGAATAGCTTGGAACAGTAGAGAGGCCAAATGGTAGGACATGACACTGGAAACAATGGCCACCTCCCACTCTCTTTTCTCTTGATGAAGGGAAGGTATCAAGCAATGAGACCACCCAGAGGCTTTGTTAAATACAGATGTGAATTCCCTGCAAATCTAGGATGGGGCAGAGGGAGAGGACCATGTTTTTGAAGTCAATGCAGTAGTGCCAACAAAGCCTGAGATGTTTCCACGGGACCTTTTCAGCTCTTCATTTTGCAGGAAAGTTCAAACTTCATTCTGAGGGAGGACAATGGGTTGCAGAACAGTGCTGATTTGGAAGCTGGTGTGTAGCGCACAATTCTGCAGCATAATGTGTATGCATGATCATGAGAAGATTCAGTGGTGCCTTCAAGCACTTTCAAACTGACCTATACTGCTTCCACACAGTTTTAGAAGTAGGCTGTGCAACAGAATGAAGATTAAACTACCCTCACAAAGAAGAGGGAATGAATTATGAGCATCCATAATAAAATCGGTCCACAAATGTTGGCATGGATTACTAGCCAGCCCTTCTTTGTAGTCATCACCAAATGCTTCACCTTCTGGAGACATTCTCAAGCCTGTGAAGAAGGAAAGAAGAGTGGGAGTGTGTTCTGGCGCTCAGGATGGACTTGCTCAATAACTGTGGAATGATGTTTCTAAGGTCGGGTATTCCTGATGAGCAGGCTAGTGGACCAGCGGTTGTCACCAGGACTGTGCAATGCCTCACCTGGGGACAACAATAACAACAACACAGAAGTAGCACCAAGGATCATGTGGAAGCAACAATATGAAATAGCGACTTGTAAAGTAGTATTTACACTGGACAAAATAAGAATAGGGATAACAACAACATTTGGGGGTCAGTTCCACCTACTCGTATCACACAAACCTCCTATGAACATCTATGAATAGTTAATACTGAACCAGCCCAGCCCTACCAGGATGCAGAGTGAAGCAGGCACTTCCGGCAGCTGATGCTGGGAGGCAGCAGCCAGGTGTCCAAAAAGGGACCTGGGCATCCCATGGCCAGTTTGGCACCTCCTAAGCTCCCTTCAGGTGCAGTGCATGATGCTGTCCCATAATCCGTGTAGAAGACAGGTTCACTGGCCGATCTAGTCAGCTTTTGCCCATGGAATGGGAAAGGATGCCATCTTGTCCTTTGCCTCAAGCAGGAAAATGTCTTGGGCAGCCCATGTACTGGTCAGCTGCAGGAACGACATACCTGAGCCAGGACACACGAGACCTTTATAAAGAATGATCTGTTTCATTAACAGGTCAGGCTTTGGGCATGTGATGCAATAATAAAGAACAAAGTAACTCAGCCCATATGCGGAATGCTTTAAGTTCACTATTATGTATAAATAAACTAATACATACCAATACATTCTAAAGCAAACTTTCAAAACACTCCACATGTCAATTTTAAAATCTGAAATTCTGCTGAAATTTGAATTTGTCTGGAAAATTACTAGAAGTTAGGATGGGGCACAAAGATAGGTTTAACACCAAAGAAAAGCTTGGAAGATATTTGCTTTTTTAAAAAAGCAAGGTGGAATACGCTTCCCATGAGCAGTGCCCTTGATGAAAATTGGTCACCCTGAGGATATTATTAATTTTATTTTAACTGATGTGATTTCAAGCAACATCTTTAGCATTGTGTTTCATTTGGCAGTGCATAATAAACCCCATCTTGTCTGGATTGCCTCTTCTCCACTTCTGCATAGCTCAGTCCTTGGTTTTGGGTTTTTTATATATACAGACTGAGCTGCTATTCATACATTTATGTGCAGCATCTAGCTTCCTGGATTAATAATGACGTTACCTAACTTGCACACCTGGGCTGCTATCAGCACCTGGCATCTGGAGACATCCCTTTTATTTTGTCATTCTGGCCCATCACTGCCAGTAGAGTCTAATTTCCAAGAGCAATTTCAATTCCTAGTGTAGCATTACTCCAAAATATTATGAGAAATTAAAATGCTGGCCCACAGCTGCCTGGCACTGCTCATCCAGACAAGTCCATCTGGTATGGAGACCATTTATGCATCACTCCACATCAAACATACATGGTAATTTGTGCTTTTCTGCTAATATGGAAGGACTTAGTATAATTTAAGCAGAAATAGATATACATCTCACTGTAGCAGGACAGGGTGTGACCAGATCTCCTTTTTTGAGGTTCACCTGGACTGGACAAAAGGGAAATTAAACCAGGGCATCTTCAAACCTGCAGCTGGTTCTGCATGTGCAGAAGAATAGTTAGACAACAGTTCAGATAAGGACCACTAGACTGGTTTAAAGATTGCCCCCATCTGCTTAAAAGGGTTTAGATAACCATATGTTTTTAGAAAGCTCCATATAATGACTTGATAAGTATGCATAGTGCTTTGGGTGGAGTCACAAGTTCTTAACATGCTGGCAATAGATTTTAAATCTGTAACATGCTCTTCCCCCTTAAAGCAAGATGTGAGGAAGCTCAGTCCATTTTCTGGCCTTTGATCCTGTGTGCAGTTCAGGCAGTTTAACTTGCAGCCGCAAAGAGCAAGAGCTAGCACACTGCCTGCACCTTGTCATAAACAGAAACGTGAAGCGGACTCTGGGCTGCTTCCACGCTGCTCCTCCCTTTGGTAACCACACCTCACTGATACCGTGCAAAAGAGAGAGAGAGGGAGAGGAAGAGGGAGGCAGTCAGGAGGGGAGGGGGAGAAGGAGGGGGAGAGGAGAGAGCCCTTCATATGCCCTTGCTGTTGTGCTCAAGAATGACGGCCGCATTTGCAGTCGAACAAGGGTTTCAGAATTGACGTAGAGGAAACACATACTTTGCGATGACACAATCCTTGTTGGCATAGTTGTTCCACAGAAGGAAACTCCCACACGGAAAGGCTTAAAAGTGTGTAAGGGAGGCAGAGACAGTTCTCAGAAGGTGCCAGCCAGTCAAAGGAGAAAGAGAGAGGAGGGACTTAGCCTGCACGTTCAGTTCCAAACAGAGAGGTCAGGATGAGCTGTGGCCAAGGCCTCCACCAATACCACTTTTCTTCTGGATCTCTCGGGGGTGCTGCAGGATGCAGCTTCACACATGTTGGAGATTCCTACACAGCTTCCAGCTTGTATGGAGGAAGAAGCAGTCCACTCCTCCCTGTGTCCTTTGGAGGACCTCTCTGGCTGGCCTCTGATGCAGGGGCAGGTTGGGGAGGCTTTGGCGGTAGCCAAGGGGACCTCTTCCTGGCAAGGAATGAGAAGCAGACCATGCAGGACCTGAACGACCGCCTGGCTGCCTACCTGGAGAGGGTGCGTTCCCTGGAGGAGGACAACATGAAGCTGGAGGGCTGCATCCGGGAGTGGCACCAGAGGAGGGCCAAGGGCACCCCGTGTGACTTCAAGGATTACGAGCAAAACATCTCAGACATGCATGACCGGGTAAGTCAGTGGGATGCCTTGCCTCGCCTCGCCTCGCCTCGCCTCTCCAGGGGGGATTCAAGCAGGCATGCAGCTTGGCTGCACTATAAATATTTGGCATACCGCTGCAAGTGGTTACTTCGGTTGAAATCCTGCAGAGGAAATGTCCTCAAGGAAAGGTGTGGACTCAAAAGGCTAGAAAAGGGGGAAGGGGAGCCAGCCTTGCCATGAATGAATGAATGAATGAATGAATGAATGAATGAAGAGAACATTTGCAAGTTAATTCTTCTCAGATTTTGCTTGGGTGTGTGTGGGAGAAGCATATTTATGTTCCCAATCCCCAATTATAACAACATTACTGTTGTGGGTGTTGTGGTAGTTAAGGCCTTGGGAGCACAAAATATCAATCCATTATGATTTATTAGTCAATCCGTGACAATACATAGCAAATGAAAGTCAAGGCAAAGGAAATATATAACTTACACTGAATCATTTGGAGCTACAATGTTGAATTTAAATGCTTTTACAAGTCCAATGTTATAAAAGTTTGCATTGAACTAGATCTTCCACCTTGCTTGTAAAAGTGTCAGACCACACTACGAAACATTAACTTGCCAAAATATTGAATCCAGCAAGTTAGCATTATTCCTTAATGAGCAATATAGAAGCTATAGTTTTATATAACTTACCTGAAAATGAAATGGGGGGATTTAACATTTAATCCCTACATTTCAGATTTGTATGAAGTATTATTTGAATTCTAAACAGTGAAAATGCTGCTGTTGATTCTCTTTCATGCCAAAGTTATGTATCTGCATCTCTTTTTAAGAACAATTATATATGATCTACTTTCCTCTTGCACGTCACATTCCTCTGAGAGATATGTGTGAGCCCCAAGTGCTTGATAAATTCAGTTCCTGGTATAGTATTTGAGCAAGCAGAATGGATTATCCATCTCAATGAAATATGCCCATGAACATACATCCATAGGACTTAATATTGTGTTGGACATAATCTTACACAGCTGGGATAGATGCTTTATAATTCCAATAGATGCTTTATAATTCCATTGTGATAATATTGTGCAAGCAATATTATCAAGTCCTACTGAAGAAACACAATGCGGTAATCATCATTAGTAAGTGTATAAGTATTTCTACAGGGCCACCCCTATCCTCAGGTAAAGTGAGGTGGCTACCTCAGGTGGCCAATGCTGGAAGATGGAAGCAAGAGCAAGATGCTGGAAAACAGAGCTTGTCCTGACCTGCACCCACCCACCTGAAACCAGCCTTCTTCCCAGTGGAAGATGCTGGCCCATCACTAGTAAAATCCAGTTGTCAGTAACATGCAGCTATCATCCTAGTACGTGGAATGGGATGGGCTGCCACCTTGTCCATCAGCTCAGACGACAAAATGTTTTTGCAGAGCCCTGTCTCAGCTCATTGATCTCCTTGTAGTAACCTGGGCCGGGTTTTCAGGAACTGTAGTCATGGGTACACCTGTGCCTGGGACGACGCTACTTTAGTGTAGGCCTTCTGTACTCAGTTCCCATCCTGTAAAAGGTGAGATGGCTGAGTGAAGGCTTCAACAATAGCTTTCTTCTTGACATTCTGGATTTCTGTGCAGCCTGTTTCTGAAGTGGTACAGTCCAGGCACAGGGTTGCTACCCCATCTGTGATAATTTAGCCTCTTGCAGAGATAGGTCACTATGCCCATATTACAAAGAAAGAACTGAACCTGGCAGATATGAATACCTCAGGACTCCTTATCTACAACTGTCTTTTAGGGATGCTTCTGATATCTCATTTCACTACTTAAGTTTTGAAAATATGCACAGATAAAAGAATCAATAAACAGGTAGAGAAGGTACAGATAAGGTGAACTGCTGGGATAAGCTCCAAAAGCTTGCAAGGCATATGTCTCTTATGCACACCTGAGCCTTCCATGGTTAAAGAAATCGCCACATCCCTACATGGTGTTTTAGGCCATGCATTAGAAACATAACATCAAAACTGCCCCCTATTTATGCCAGGCCTGTAAACAACAAGTCTTCATGGGCAGAATTTTTGTATATTATGGACAAAGGAGACCACAGATTTGCCTATGCATAGCTGTACATTTACAAGTCATGCATGCAATTTAAATAGACATAGAATATGTTAAATAAAAATATAATTCCATTAGAAATCCTGTGACCTGCTAGTGCACCTGTTTGGTCTATTGTCCAGATGGAAAGATGGCTTATGAATATTTATAGGCATTAATGATCATACAACTTCAAGGCCCCTGCCGCCTGTCCATACTGAATAATCTTCAAACCAGACTTGGATGAGACAGCCTTTCAAACAGAGGACTTCCTTCAGTAACGGAGGACACCTGGCTAGACCATTATTGCTCAACACATTGCTTTCAGTATATTTCACTAAACAGTATTAAGTACCTCATGGCAAGCTGGAAGCAATACAGATATATGCATACCTGTTCAAATGAAACCATTTTTGTAGGTCAGTCTGCACCCACTTCCACAACCAAAGAGTCTCAACTACTTCCCCTGTTACATAAATCATACGCAGTCAATCCTCATCAGTTTGCTTATCTCAGTTTTAAGCATGTGGTGCCCAGCTCTGGACTGAAACTACTGTGCACAGCTAGGGGATATTTAATGTTGCACCCAGCCCTTTTTCCCCACTCCTCTCTCCTCTTCTTAACTGGGAGTAAAGATAGAAGGAAACACCTCTATTTGCACCAATAAGTTTCTCTCTGTCTTTTTAGGCCCATGTGTGTGGGAAGGGAATGAATTTTGTGGGTGAGGAGAGTGGCTGGTTGGGAATCTTTAAGCGTCCCCAACCCATGTCTGGATTGTGGCCCCACAGATTCACACTATAAAAAATAAAATGGTGAAGATAAGTGGCACACAACCTAGCAGTGTGCGGTTTAACTGCAAGAACTACAAGAATGTATGACTGAGTACATATAAAGTCGACAATATGGGGCAAATGTTCATTCTGCACAACAAAAGGAACAATCCTCTTGAAAACTAAACAAAACAAAACAAAAATACTTCCCTGTAAATATATAACTTCATTATAACTGCAAAGAATTCTAGCTCCTGCTAAGAATTTTACAAGGAAGCTGCATTTCAGGTTTTGTGTCTCCTTGCACAGCTATGGGGTTAATCCGATGATAAAACTTATTCAGCTAGGCTACAATCCCTGTGACAGATCAGATTAAATTACTTTTTTCACTTCACACTGCCATATAAGGCAAGAAGCCAGGCTTTACGTAATAAAGCTGTGGTTTAGCTTCTGAGGAACGTTTCTGATTCTGAATGGTGGTAACATGTACCTCCCATAACACTGAGAGGTTTTCACAAAGAGCTCTGCACAATAACATGCAGTGGCACCACTCCCAGGAGTTAGGTAATTCTTGCTGCGTGAAGCAGCCCCTGTGTTGGCCCGTGTGGGATGAGAGCCAGAGGAAGGCACCTGAACCAGTTGGCCAACATCAAGGTCTGCTCAGGCTGCCACTCTTTCAGGCCCCACACGGCTTTGCGCAGCCCAGCTTGGAAGCGCTATAAAACCATTTTGAGAACTGACTGCACACAGAGACGGATCTCCCTTCCACATCATCCCTCTCATCAGGTCGCCTCTTCCTGGGCTCTGCCCGTAAACTCTCCCTTCATCTTTTGTTTTATTTAACTGCCAGGATCCCTGCCAGGTGAGGGACTCTTCTTCCTGGCCAAAGTGAATGCTCATCTTAGGTAATGGAGGATAAGGCTTTCAGTGGCTCTTGCTGGCCATGATGGAAATATGGTACCTCCATACCACAGGCAGCATACTTTTCAGGAACATGAGCTTGGGAGTACAATTGGGAATGCATGGCTGCTCTCGCACCCCGTTCAGCAGTTGCACCCCACCTCCAGAGTAGGCTCCCCAGAGCAGTTCACCTAACTCCTTCACTGCAATCTTTCTGGCTCCAGGCAAAGACTGTTCCAAACATTTTTAGTAACTGAACAGAGTTGAACTGGCTTTATTTTTTGTATGGATTTTATTGATGGTTGTAGTCTACTATACTTGTTTAAAATAATTTTAGTTAATGATCTGTGCAGTTGTCAAAACTGTATCATTTTTGCATTTTGTTTGCTTTTATTGGTTTTAATTGCTCACTACAATCCTACATCATAAATGGGGGCTTCCCTGATATTTCAAGGTCTGCTTCTGCAGCCGTCCATGACTGTAAGAAAACCACAAGCAGACTACATGTGGGAATGAACCATAGCTCATCAGGGCCGTCTTAGCAGCATTATGGGCCCCGGGCAAAGCAGTGTCCTGGGGCCCCTACGACAACTACAACTACTGTTAATTTTGGAAGTTTTCCCATTTTCCAAGGGTTAACATACACAGATTAGTATGGGGCCCAAGGGCAAGTGCCCATCAGGCCCATGCGTTAAGACGGCCCTGTAGCTCATCACAGACTTCCCTCTGTCTATTTGCATCCTGTGTCCAGTAACAAAGGATGATCAGGAATTTGGTTTGATCCACATATTAAGGCACACAGAGCTGATCTGCACCACTTAATGTGCTGAGTGTGATCCATTGTTTCATACCTTGCACTTGTGATCTCCAAAAGCATACCAAAATATAGTCACAAATTTTAGGATAGACTACATTTAAGAATGCATACTTTGAGAGCACATACGTGTAAAAATCTGAATGCTGAGAGAAAATATGTATGTTAAATATATATTTAAATAGAATTTATGTGCAGAATTTGAAAGTCTTCGTAGATTAATACAGAATGGAGTTATGAATGAACATGTGAAAAGCTGACATGGATGAACCAGAAATAAACTGAACCCTCTGTTCTGGCTGGGGATGAGGGGAGTTGTTTTCCACCTTATCTGCAAGGCGCCAGGTTGGGGAAGTCTGCTCTAAAGCACCTGGCTATAGATCAGGTGTTTTTCACTCTTCTCCAGCTGTCTAAATAGACTGGGTCTTTTCCTCCCTGCCTCCATGCACTTT